GTATGGTTTGATTGGATCCCCCCGATGGAGATTAGGGTTGTCGAACCGCTGGAGAGGGCGTCCGGGATGAGGTATTCTAGTTTGCGGGTCTTGTTGCCGCCTCCGGAGGCGAGAGGGGAGGATAGGTCGTCGCGTTTGGCGTAGATGGTTGTTGATGGGTTTGGGGGGTAGAGGGCGGAGGTGATGAGCGGGAGGGCGTGGATAGGGGAGGGGCCGAAGGTTAGGACGTGTCGGGGGATGGTGCTGAAGGGGGGTGGGAGGGGGAGGGGGTCTTGGTTGTTGGTAGTAGTTGAGATGGTCATTTTGGTAATAATGGTGATAGTAGTTGTAGTAGGAGGTTTGGTTATTTGGGTGTGTGTAGATGATTGGGGTAGATGTGTGTGGTGGTGGTGATGGTTGGAGTATATATAGACGGTACTTACTAGTAGTAGGTGTAGGTACTGATAGTAAGGAGATGTTAAGGCACCGATCCCGGAGCCGGGCTGCTCATTTACCCCTCTTCTGATGCATTATTACCGAGTTTAAGCGTTGCCCTTTCGGAGGTTGCCCGTAAGTGCCGTGTAGGTACTACAATTCACTACTGTTTTTGGATGAGGTGATTATCGGGCTGACGATAAGATTATCTTAGTAGTAGGTGTTGACTAGCGGATGGTGGTCCGATATCGTGATAGGGATAGCATTGCTGATTAGATAGGGGGATACTATCAGTTAGTGGATCTGTTGATACTACTACCAGAAGTATTTAAGTACAGTAGTTGGGTTAGACTAGGTGGCTGGTAGTTGAGGTGAGGGGTTATGACCAGTGTAGTCTTCTTCCCGAGTACTACTTGGTGAACTTGCTGCAGACATAGTTATGTAAACCACAAGGTCCTACGACTTTACAGTTGCTGAGGACCTTGGAGACAACTACACATATATATAGACATCGTTTCTAACAGCTAACTCGTAATTTTATTCATTCAATTTATTCATCAGTGTACATTATGGCAGGTTTATGACAGGTCAACAACGCAGCGAACGCAGTCGCCCGCCTTCATCTGCTCAAACGCCTTGTTGATGTCCGACAGCTTCTCGCGGTGCGTAATGAACTCATCAACCTTCAGCTGTCCGTTCAGGTAGTCATCAACCAATCCCGGCAGCTGCGTACGGCCCTTGATACCGCCAAAGGCGCAACCCTTCCACACACGGCCAGTGACCAGCTGGAATGCTGCAACCAGTTAGCATTGCGCGCTTTTTTACACATTCAAAGAATACTTACGGCGAGTGGAAATCTCCTGGCCAGCAGCAGCAACACCGATGATAATACTCTCACCCCATCCCTTGTGGCACGCCTCCAGGGCAGCCCGCATCACACCAACGTTACCAGTGCAGTCGAAAGTGTAGTCGCAACCACCGTCCGTCATCTCAATCAGCTGCTCCTGGATGGTCTTGCCACCGAGCTTGGTGGGGTTGACAAAGTCCGTGGCGCCGAACTTACGGGCCCACGCCTCCTTGCCGTCGTTGACATCGACCACGATGATGCGGCCAGCCTTGTTCTTCACAGCACCCTGGATGACTGAGAGACCGACACAGCCGGCACCGAAGACGGCAATGTTGGAGCCCTCCTCCACCTTGGCGGTGACGACGGCCGCACCGTAACCGGTGGTGATACCGCAGCCAAGCAGGCAGGACCGGTCCGTGGGGATCTTGGGGGTCACAGCGACAACGGAGATGTCGGCCACGACGGTGTACTGGGAGAAGGTGGAGGTACCCATGAAGTGCAGCAGGTCCTTGCCGCGGGCCTTGAAACGGGAGGTGCCGTCGGGCATCACACCCTTGCCCTGAGTGGCACGAATCTTACCGCAGAGGTTGGTCTTGCCGGACTTGCAGAACTTGCACTCACGGCATTCGGGGGTGCTAGAAACGTTAGCAGCGGAGTGCGCAATTGCACCAGGTGTCGCTTACTAGAGAGCAACGACATAGTCACCGGGCTTCACGGAGGTGACGCCCTCGCCGACGGACTCGACGATACCGGCACCCTCGTGTCCCAGAACAACGGGGAAAGCACCTTCGGGGTCCTTTCCGGAGAGAGTGTAGGCATCTGTCTCGGTCAGCCTGGCTTTCAATCCCAGCTGTCTCACAATCACCGACCTGTGTGGCAGACACCAGTGTGAAGGACCTGAATGCGGACCTCGTGGGCCTTGGGAGGAGCAACTTCGACGTCCTCAACGGAGAGAGGCTCTCCGGCGCCCCAGGCAACCGCAGCCTACAAAAGTTCATTGGTATACTCGATGGTGGAGGTCATTGTTCGAGTGGCTTTCTTACCTTGCAGGTGATGGTCTAGATGAGTTAGTCAACGCACGCGTCAATGCTGGTCTTTGCTTCGAGCTGGAACCAACAAACTCACCTGTCCGACAGTGCTGGCCATGATGAATCAGGCAAAGATAGTGGCAATCACTGAACCGGAAGGAACCGGAAGAGGGAATCAAGGGAAGAAAAGGGATGATAAAAGGGAAGAAAAGGATGAAAGAAGAGGAAGAATGAAGCTCGAGGTTGAGCCAGCAATAAATTGGCAGCAGAGTGGTCGGGTCGGCAAAGACGGTGGAGTTGGCCGATGAGGGGAGCACGAGGGGGGAAGAAGAGGGGCTACGTGAGGGGCACCCATTTTGTACTGTTTTGCTCTGTTTGCTGGGCAAATTCTAGATGTACCGGGTTTCGGGTACACATCCCGATACCATCAATTCCTCCGTCTTTCATCATCTATCTCGCATACACTAACCATTGATCCCCTCATGCCTCCGCATGAGTGTGTATGAGGGTGGCGGGCAGGGTGCGGTCCCGGTATCGTTGTTTTGCAGTGGGCCATGACTGGGGCTACAGGATACGTTATCTATAATGGAGGGTCAATCTCCGCCAAAGTAGTCTCAATGCATTCAAGTGCACGTAAGGAGCTCCATTCTTCTGATATCCCACGACTGGTAGATAGATAACTAGTACTCGTCCTGCGTACTGAATGACTCCATTGGGACAGATGATGCGATGACTCAGGCATAACCCGGTTAGGTAATGTTTTCCGGCTCTCTTGGCCCGTGCACGCCAAGAGGCCCCGACGGGTGACTGTCGGCGTCCCGATCGGGTAAGTTCGATTCTCGTTGTATCAACACAGTTTATCCAGTCATCACTCTACACGGCAATGGCTCGTAAGTAGACCTATCTGTAAAAGTATTCTTAGGGACTCATCCCCTCACGTCTTTTGGAGAAGAAAGAAGCAAAATTGGAGAAAGTCAAATGTCGATGACTTCATCATGGTTATACCACATTTATGCCTGCAAATGAAATATCCATTATGCCTGATACATGCTACAACTGACCATCTGTATCCTAACCAGCATAGTTTACTTCAAATGCTATTTTCATTCCATATATTACAATCACGGCAGCAACAGTATACCTCCATACTGTGAGCTCGGCAACCAAAACTTGCTCCTCAAGAGCGAGCGGGTGCCCATCGCCGGCCATTAGGGGATGTCATCATTGCAAAAATTCTAATATTTTATACAGAAACCGCCAAAGTCAAGGCAAAGCAAAGCAACCGAACCCCATGCTAAATTTCCCATTTACCGCTGTTGTCCCTGCATCATCATGGCCTGGTTCTGTTCCTGGAACCGCTCGTTCAGGCGAGCCGATCCCTTCATGAACTTGTCAACGCAGCGCAGGACACAGCCCTCTTCCCGGTTGATCAGGGACTTGGTGGTGAAGTCGTTGACGCAGTCATCGAAGCAGCGCTGGACGAGCTTGGAGTACATCTACAATGATCAGATTAGAATCCGGAAGGCCGAGCTAGGGATGATAAATGGACGAATGGGCAGATGGACGGGCGGATGGACGGAAGGACAGATGAACTGTTGAAAGTGTAGATAGATTGTGCAAGGCAGGAGCCGGATTCGGTGCGAAAGGGTATCACTGTTTATTTTGGGTCTCACGTACGGTCATGAATTCCTTCATCTGGCGTCTCTCCATGCGAGAGGCGAGCTCACGCTGCTCAGAGGCGTTGAGGCTGGGACTGGTCAGTACACATCCGGGGAACTTTTGATAAAAAGGTATGAAAAGGGGAACTGCTTACGATTCCATTGTGATGTGATTGGGTCTGAAGCTAGGTAAATCAAAAAGGGTAGCGTTTGATAACAAGAGGCCTGGGTCGTGATGACGACCGTAGCTCCGGAGCTGCTCTACGGACCGCAGGCTCTGATGTGATCACGTGCCTTATCCAGCTCCGATCAGGTGACCGGAACCGGACCGCTTGTTGATCGTGCTGACTCATCCATTGCCGAAACCGAGGTCATTCCCAAACCGGCAAACAGCAGGACAATCCAGCTGGCGCTGTTCCATTCTTTGGGCAAGTTAAAAAAAGCACAACGGCCAAGGTGGCCCCAGACTTCCATTCGCCAGAACCATGGTTCGCCCGTCCACAACCGGAGGTCCATCAAGTCGAGAAGCAACCCAGAAGGACAAAGATCTTCTTTGAATTCCCACCGCAATGACTCGGGCTGGAGCCACCCTTGGTGCTTGTTGGATGATTCTTCCTAAAAAATCGACAGGTCTTAGGGCCAGCTTCGATCGAAGGATCTAGGAACGTTTGGCTTTGGGTAGAACAATCCCACATTCCAATCCGGAGCTTAGCGAGATCGTGCTCGGGGTGATTTCATTGCTTTTGCGGTGTATCATGCTCATGAGCTTGCGCGGGTGGGTTGCTGGAATGGAGCTGGTCAAATTATTAGCTGATTCCTAGCGGATCCAGTATACAGAACTATATTGCTGTCCCCGTAGGCGATTGCGTGGAAGATGTGCCACCGAGATCAGCAGACCAGTAAGCCACCTATGGCGAGAAATTATGTTTTACCAGCCACTCGGATAGGGGCATGTTGTCTTCCAATGATAGGCGTGAACATATAGCAGTCTCTCCGGTTGGTTGTTGGTCCTATGCCTAGTACGCAAGTTGACCCATTCTCCTAACACAACGCTTGGGCTGTATATCTATGTCTTGGGACTTACGTGCACTCCAACAGGAGACATTCCCTGTGTTATGCGTGCATGGAGTAAGCTTAGTCTTAAATTGTTTGAGATTGAATGTGATGATCCAATCAATGGCATAAGCTTCCTTCACACTTCACAGCTAAACCGTACGTTTTATGTATTCGTATGTAGAAAAGCAGAGGAGCTGAAGAGTCGGCCCTACGATCAACCTGGCGAGGGATCCAGCCCAACAGCCTGGTGGGTAAGCTGTTGTAGATAGATGAGTGGCCACCTGGAACTGCACTCCTGAGATCGGCAGCTGACGGACTAGTTCGGGCAAGCGAATCTCGCACCACGACCGAACTAAACCACTAGACGCGGGGTCAGCATTCTCTCGGGCCGTTTGGGATGACAGCCACATCAGTTGATGGTTGGAGAACCGCGGTAGGACCCTGATGGTGCGGCATCGTTGCTCAAGGGGAAGCGCCCTGAGGGTTGCATCAGGGGATCCATAGTCATATTTTTGGCTAGAACCACGAGCAGCCGATGGGTCGACAGCCTGCCGATACTGTGTATAGTGTATACCTTGTTGTAAACGTAGCAGCTTGGCAGACTGGAGAGTATCATTCCTCTTCCCAATTTATAGTTTTCTGATCGTCCGTGAGGAGGCGATAGTGAGTCAACAGGAACAGGATCTACTCCCTCACTCACTCACACACACTCACTGAGAAGTTCCCCGGTCGGAGAAGAGGGGGGAGGGGGGAAGAGGGTATTCTGCATTCGAGAATCCTTATCCGGATAGAGCGAAAGAAGGAGTCCCATTCGACTGCGGTCTCCGGATAGCCTCATGTCTCAGAGGGGCCTTGACGCAATTGGCTAGAACTGGGGCCATATAACCGGCGTAGCGGAATGATTGAAGAATGGTCCAGTTAGTGTCCCATGCTAGTGTGCCGGAGGGACGACTAGAACCAGGGCCAGAACCGACGGACCTGGAAAAATAATAAGCAGAGGAGGAACCGCACCTAAAAGAACAAAACAAGAATAGGAAATGGCGGTTAAAAATAAGCAAAATTAGTAGATAATACTCCGTAATAAGGGTTAAATAAATAACAACGGAAAATGGAAAAAGGAAAAAAGGGCACCCAAAAAAAAAAGGGCCCTGGTTGGAGCCAGTCAACCCTGGAACCCTGGGGTCTGGTCCCAAGCAGGGCCACTTGCCAGAACTTCAATTCCCAGGAGAACAAATCCATCTCCATGCTTGGCGGGGGGTGTTTTCAATTTCCCAAAATTTCCCCCCCTCTCTCTTTCCCATCTCTGACACATCCTATTTCTATTCAATCTTGAATTCATTTACTCCATCCTGATCTCTGATTTTGATTCTGGTTCTAGTTGTGGTTCGGGTAGGAATAGATACATAGTTTGCCTGGGGGGTTTGAACTGGTGACTGAACTGGTCATTCCTCTTGTCTTTTACCTCTCCGTCTTCCCCTTTGGGTCCCGCCTACAGCAGCACGCCTCCAGCCTGTTCGTCCGGTTGTCACGCAGTTTGGCTGGTTGGCTGTCCGTCGGTTGTTGCTCCATCCTTTCCATCCTTTCCCTCCTGTCTCTTTCTCCTGTCTCCTCCACAACCATCTCCTTTCATCCTCCATCACGCCTAGCAACCACCACATCTTCACCATCTACAACGACAACGACAAGCACTCCGGGGTATCTATTGATCTGACTGCAGCTCTCGAGTTTCGTTGGTTCAGATGATGGTCATTGGTTTCACCCCCAGACCAGCCAAGAAGCACCTCTGCTGCTGCTCACCCACGCAACCAGAGTCCCATCCACCCTGTCGGAGGGCCCCAAATCAGCCTCTCAGCCTGAAGTTCATTCCTGATTGCTAGACTCCCTTATTGTTGCTCACCACTACCACCACCACCACCACCTCCTCCTCCTCCTCCTCCCCCCGAATTGTTCAACGTTGACGGACATCCCGGCATTCGTTGATTTGCTCGTGTTTTGTCTGCTTCGTCTCGTTCTTGCCAGCGCTGCCCCCATCCATTCACCCCTCTCCTACATCTACTCCGGCTTCCTGCGTTCCCTTGTTAACCTCCTTTCATTTCTCACTCCATCCCTCCCTATCTCCCCTGTCTCTCTCCTTCGTGCGTTGTCTACCCTTCGCTGTCTCCATTCTTCTCCCTGCCCCGTTGGAAAAAAAATTCCCAGTGTTCGTTTTACCGGTTCCCTGCTACTGTACGTGTTTCGGACGGCGCGGCACTTAAAATCCGCAGCCTGACTAGTCCTCGTGCTATTTTGGGATCACGCCTCCCAGCCCCGGAATTTCTCGCGCCAACAACAAGGGCGGTGACGGAGGCCTCGGATTAGCAGGGTCTGGTTCGGTCGCTGTATTTCTATACCTTCGCAGTCACGTCGCATCTCGTCTGGAACCCTCGTTCCCATCGCGCACTGCCCACCATGGTTACTACCGGCAAGTCGCACCCGGGTGTCGATCCCCTGCACCGGCTTCCACCCACCGCTGCCCCCCCTGAGGCTATCGCGACCTCGCCGCCGTCGAAACGTGACTTGGCTTCGTGGTGGAGACAATTCAAGAGAAATACCAGAAAGGAGGAACCGAAAGGTATGTGTGGTGGTATAATAGGATCTTTTGGTTGGGTTTGCTGCGCTGCGGGGAAGCTCGGCGGCGATGCGATCGTGGGGCGTCCGTGGAATCCCATCGCATCGAAGCCTGTCGCCCTGTTAGCATTCTGCGGCTCCCTTAGCTACCTAGGATTCGCTTCTGATGGGCTCTGCTTTTAACATGTGCTAATGGATTGCAGAAAAACCCCAGGGTATCTTCGGCATCCCCCTCAACGTCAGCATCAAGTACGCCAACGTCGCTATCTCCCTTACGAACGACAACGGCGAGAGCTTTATCTACGGATACGTGCCCATCGTGGTCGCAAAATGTGGAGTCTATTTGAAAGAGAAAGGTATCCCGACCACGCTGGCCCTGCGATAAGATCGGTGCTAACGTAAATCTCGCTAGCGACCGACGTTGAGGGCATCTTCCGTCTGAGCGGCTCTGCAAAGCGCATTAAAGATCTTCAGGAAATCTTCGACTCCCCCGAGCGTTATGGAAAAGGTTTGGATTGGACTGGCTATACTGTGCATGATGCGGCGAACGTTCTTCGGCGCTACCTGAACCAGCTGCCGGAACCGATCGTCCCGCTAGACTTTTACGAACGGTTTCGCGAACCCCTACGGACGTATCAACGACAGGTCCAGGAACAGATTCAGAACAACGCCCCGCCCGCGGACACCGAGGCCTTCGACCATGCCAAAGCGGTCGCGGCCTACCAGCAGTTGATCCGCGAGCTACCCCCGTTGAACAAACAGCTTTTGCTCTATATCCTCGACCTGCTGGCTGTCTTCGCGTCCAAGTCTGATCAGAATCGCATGACTTCGGCCAATCTGTCCGCCATCTTCCAGCCAGGATTGTTGTCGCATCCGCAGCACGACATGTCTCCAGACGAATACAAGCTAAGCCAGGATGTCCTGATCTTCCTGATCGAAAACCAAGACCACTTCTTGTTTGGAATGAACGGCACCGCCGCTGACGAGCAGACGGTCAAGGAGGTCGAAGGGGGTCTGGCCCGCCGGCCCACCACTCATTCCAACATTCGACGCTCGGTGTCGAGTGCCAGTGGCGGTGCGGAGAGCTTCCGAAAGTATGGAAGTCTGCGCCGGAATGTGTCTGTCTCGTCGAAGAATTCCCGCAACTCCAATGCTGCAACCCCTGCTACGCCGACCTCACTGGGTGGTGTGGGGGTACATCGCAGCAACACATTGCCGTCTAAGATGACGCCCGTGATTCCTCCATCACGGTATGGACGACCGGTGGATAACACAGGGGTCAACTCATCGGCACATACTTCTGCGCAACACTCGCGATCGTCCAGCCGTGCGCCTGCACCTGCTGAGGACACCCCTCAACCTCTACCCCAGCCTCAACCTCAGCCTGCTCCTCAACCCCAGGTTGCTCCTCAAGCTCAGGCTCAGCCTCCTCAACCCGAGCTTGCACCCCCAACCCAGATTGCACCGCAACCTCAGCATGCGCCCGAACCACAACCTGAGTTGCCCCAGACCAATGCTCGGATGAGCCCTGCACCTAACCAGGTTGCCCAGGGCACTCCCCCGCCGACAAATGGTCAGGGATCCATAACCGAGGTGGTAGAGCCAGGGACAGGGATCGTCTACGTTCACTCGTCCACACACGGACCCGTACCAAAGACTGCGCTTGAGAATGGAAATGGACTTGGCGATACGAAACCTGCCACCGCAAATCCCAGTGTGGAGAAGCCCGCTGTTGAACAGACCATTGCAGAAAAGCCAGTTGTGCAGCAGCCCATCGCCCAAAAGCCCGCTCAGACTCCCATTGCTGAGAGGCTGATGGCAGAGAGGCCTATCCCACACCCTGAACAGACAAGTACGGAGAAGCTTGGTGACAGACCTACCAGTGAACGGCCCATCCTGCGGGAAGGATTGCCACCCATAGCTGCTTCACCCCCGCCGGCGGTGGTGACGCCGACGCGGGAACGCAAGCTCTCTAGTCTCTTCTCCAAGTCACCGCCACCAAGTGGTGAGCATAAAGAGCCGCGACAGCCAAATCGCTTGAAGAAGAAGCGAATCCCTGGCAGCGCGAGTGAAAGTGCGCAAAGCTCGTCCCAGTCGCTGCAGGCCGCAACATCGGATACTGGGTTGGCAGCGATCTTGCATACTTCCCGACACGCGGAGGTCAACAATGATGCTGGAGGAGCGACACCACGAGCCCCCAACACTACGAGTTCTGATGATCTGAGCCCGCCACGAGAAGGCAGGCCAGAGAAGCAGCTGTTGCCGCACGAAGGTGGACAGCAGGCAGGCGACACATCGCTGCGGCCTTATGGCTCACGGACCCCATCGATGAACTCTCGGTCATCGTTCACCGATTACTCGGATGCTGACCCTACCGATGATGCGTCGCGAGCGGAGCGTAAGGAGCATCGCCGCAGCTGGCGGTTCCCGCGCTCATCTAAACGCAGCAACGAGCATATTGGCTTGGGACTTGCCTCACCACCGCTCATCGCCACGACACCTGGTGCCGACCGGAGCACTAGCTCGATCGGCAGTTGGCACCACTCTAGCAGAAGCTCACCCTCGGATTTGCAGCAATTTGCAAACGATCCGTCCTACCAACCTCTGAGCTTGGACGCGGAAGTCAGCAACAACGGGGCCGCTAAGGACGCATCTCTGGCTGAACCCGAGAAGCGCAGCCTGTTTGGCAAGTTCAAAGCCAAGGTTGCGCAAGTGCGAGATGGTGTTAAGGAGTCCACGGAACGGGACCGGACGAGAAGTCCTGTAAACTCAGAGGCCGACCTGTCCGTGTCGAGCCACACCCTATCACCATCTGGGAAGGATAGTCTGCGAAACCGGCCTGCTCCGATCGATGTGACTAGCTATCCTAAAGAGGGACAACTAAGTTCACCGGTCTCTCCGCTGCCGGGTTCGGGACTGCCGCCGGCGATCCCTGAGGAACCACGGACACCGGAGAGTCCAGTTGCGGTGCCTGGCTTAGAGCAGAAACAGGAGCCTGCTGTGGCCGCGCCTGTTGCCTCTCCGCCAGTAGAGACGGAAGGCACGGATGCCGGACCGGGGCCCGCTGTGCCCTCATAGATGAAGAATTTTGCTTTCTTTCCTTTGTTAAGTGGTTTAAGGATATGGACTGATGGACGGCACGATTCACGTACCGGTGGCTTGAGGCTGCCATGATGACTGTCGTTGATGCACTTATGGATCACGAATGATGTATGTATTGCTTGTTGGATGGCGTGCCATGTATTTCAAATAGTTGTAGATTTATGTACGGATACATTGACACCATTTGCAGAATTGTAGTTGCTCACTTGTCTGGACTATATTGCAGTAAATCTGCGTAATATCCCCTGACACCTCAGGCACCCGCAACCCCATACTTAAGTAAAAAGCCCCATGCAAACAAACCAAACAAAACCAATCCTCTTCTTCCTCTTCCGTCACCTCCGAAGCATCTCTTCGTTCCACAGCTCCTAATCTCCTCACCACCTCCCCAATTCCTCCTCCCCTTCCCTCTCTTACTCTCCCTACTCCCCCAGGCCCATCGCCACACCCTCAAAATGGCCTCCCCACCCCCCTCCCCCCTCACCACCACCAGCGCCGCCTCCGCGCCGCCCGACAACTCCAACAAACCCGCCGCACCCCCCGTGCACGTCCTCCCAACCCAACTCGCAACCATCTACTCCTACATCCACCCAGCGGCGCTACTCTCCGCCTTCGCCGCGCGATTCCCCGCGCTGGTCAACGACCCCGTCGCAGAAATGGCCCAGCAATTGCCCCTCCTCGCCCTCGCGCACGTCGCCTACGTGATGATTTGTCTCCCGGCCGCGGGCTCCTCGGATTCTACTACTTCCACCACCACCACCACTCCCGCTTCGCCGTCTACTCCCACCGCCTCCAGCGCCTCCTCCACAGGAACAACCACCGGTACCAACGAAAAAGGAGGAAATGTGATCCTCCGTCCCGGCCGCGTCGGCCGGCGGCGCACGAAGGACTCGTCTTCGTCGTCGGCGACGGCCTCGGCGATTAGTGGGCGGGTTGTTGTATGTCCTTTCCCCATTACCCTTAATATTCTCCTCAATATATTTATCCTTACTAATGATTGATGTGTGATAATATCAGGCTTCGCTATTATCCTTGACATTGACAACCCTCCTCGCCACCCCCGTCCTCAGCATCCTTCTTGTTCTCTTTGGCGCCCCGTTCACGACTCATCATGCTCAGACGGTTCTGTGTGCGGCGCATATGGCTATTCTGTCGTCGACGGCGCTGGTGTATGTTCATGGCGTGGATGGGAATGTGTGGAAGGAGGTGTGGGGGGCTAAGAGGCCGGGGGATATCGTTTGGGGTGGTGCGTTGGGGACTTGTGTGGGGGCTTGGTTGGGGGCGGTGCCGGTGCCGCTTGATTGGTATGTTCATCCTCTTTATTTCTTGTTTGGAGGGGATAGGGGGTGATAAAGGGATTGGGTGTGCTAATGTTGTGCAGGGACCGTCCGTGGCAGGCGTATCCGATTACCTTGTTGACGGGGGCGTATATCGGGTTTGTGGTCGGGTCGGTGCTGGGGAGGTCGGTGTTGTTTGGGAAGAGGATTCGGTTTGAGGAGGGGGAGGATGTGAAGAAGGTTGAGTAGATTGTCTCCTTTGCATGGTTTTGGGTGTGGGGGGTGGAAGATATCCAGGCGTGTTGCTGTCGCTTCGTGTATAGCTGTTTTAGTATATTTTAATTGATTTAATTGTTTCATGGTTCTTGCTGAACTTTCTAATTGTTTGTGGTTCAATTGATCTATAAGTCTATGGCTGCAGCCGGGCAGCCAGTGCGTAATGAAGGCAATTGGTGTATGTACAGTATCACTCATGCACGCAAATCTCATGCAGGATATCATAACCACGCAGAAGCAGAACATTTCCAAAGAAAAGAGATAACCAATGAGGGTATGGAGCAATGTTGGTCGTTAAGAGGGAAGAGGGTGGATGGAAAAGGAAGAATAGAAGAATCAGAATGAGTGTTATCGGCATCATATCATCCCGCCAACTTCGACCCGGCGCGCCGACGGCCACCGCGGATGGTACAGGTCTCCCTTTGGAGGAAGCTCCGGGCGCTCCTCCGAATCACTATCTGGGGAGATCTTTTCCGTCGGTGGCCCTGAGTTGGTCGGGGATGGCCCCAGGGCCTGCCGCATACGCATAATATCATGCGCGTCAATCGGAATAGGATAGATAGGCCCCATGCCCATGGATTCGCGTGCCACGCGCGTCAGTTGCTCGACATCGCTCCGCAGGTTGGATACCTGTTCCTCGAGGTTGCGTCGCGCAGACTGCTCCCGACGCAGCAGCATCACCAGTGCGCTGTACTGTTCGACGGAGATGGTATTGCATTCGTGCAGCGACGTGGAGGACGGTGCCTGCAAAGTGCGCGAGCGGTGGAGATGGTTCGGGCGCAGCGTGCTCGTGCTAGACGGGCGATCGGCGCCGCCGGGCGACTTGGCACCCGGGGCCTCGTCACTTCCCGACGGCGACTGGGCCGACGATGGCTTGCGCTTGTGCCGGGTCGTCGGCGGTGACGGTTTCCTCTGTCCCGACGGCTCGGCCGGCGTCTCGCTGCGTCCAGACTGTATGCGTGCAATTGCACACTCGAGGTCGATCAATTTTACCTCCAAGGTGGTCAGTCGCTGTTCCAGCGTCACGTTCTCATCGTGTTGCAATGAGTTGACTAGCGTCCCAACCATTGGGGGCATGGGCTCCTCTGGTGGTGCATCTTCCTCCTCGTCCTCATCCGGCCCATCCAGGAAGGACGGCTCGGTCGTGGGTTTCGGGGCACTGGCGACCGTTGTCCGGGTCGGGGGTCGTTCCGATGCATCGGCCTCGGAGACCGCTCCAAAGGTCGTCGATCCTGCGTACGACTCCAAACTGCGGCGTCGCCATTGAATGGGAGACATTAGGTGATCTTTGGCCATGCCGCGCAGGGCGGTCGCGCTGCGCGAGCGGCGCTTGATCTGCCGCATCTCTCGCCGGCGGACCTCATCCGGATCACTGTTGGCGTGCGGACTGTTGTCCCGCTTACTGGTTGGTCGGCCCGAATGCACGACCGCCTCCAGGGCACCGCGAGATTCGTCGTCCGAAAAGATCAAGCTCGGCAGAGTGGCACGTCGGCGGCGTGGGTGCGGTTCAAGCTTGCGGAGGGCCTCTTCCCACGAGGTGACGGGCCCGTGTTCCTGTTGCAACGGACTCGTGGATTTGGCGTTCCATGAACCGGAGAGCGGCTGCGGCTTGTCGAGCGATTGATTCGATCGCGGACTGTGGTTGCCGAACCGACATTCAGCGGACTCGTCGTCCTCCTGTCCCCGACTTTTGCGAGTGAAGATCTTCCGCATGACGGTTTTCAGGGTGCTGCCGGTACGACGATGTGTGCTGG